GCTGTGGCAGATCAGTTACACGCTTCAGCAGCACACAACTGCCTTCAGTATCACAGTTATTATCCGACTCTGCATCCATCTCGGCAGAGAGCAGAGACTGCATTTCCTCCACCTTATTTAACAGAGCATCTTTCTTACTGCTGACCTTCCCCTCAGATGCCAGTAACCCAGCAGCCCATTCTCTCTTTGCAGCAGGCTGGAGAAAGTTTACATCTTTTTCTTTGACCTGCATTTTGCTACTCCTCTCTCCTCCTTGGGCTTCAGGTCTGCAGTTTTCACTTTCTCCTGCATTTGGAGGAGAGTGTGCATCCCCATTCCTCTTTTCCATATCCATACTAGAGTACAGAGCTGTATTCCTTACACACCTACACACTTCTGCATTGTTTCTTAATCTGAACTCCTCCTTCAATTTTGCATTGATTTGCATGTTACCATCAAACAGCTCGATCAACAGTTTACCACCAGATTCTTTTGCTACAACAATTGCTTTTAATTGCCTTTCAAGGACAGCTTGCTTAAACCACGCTGTAGCTTCCTGGGGAACATTAGGTACGTCAGCCAAGGAACACTTTATGGCCTGCATTGGCAAAAGCAAGATATCATGAGCATCACCCGGAATAGGAAGCAGATGATCATCTTCAATGGTCTCTGTGTTCCCAAAATCCACAAAAAAGACTTCCTTGGTGGGTTTTGTTTTTGTAAGGACCCCCCGGTACCAGTAGCTGTCAGTATACCTGGCGAGACACAACTCACCAAACCTCTGCCAGGTTTCTAAGCCCGACGTCGTCCCTCTGAGACGAGAAACGTTTTCACTGAGCCGCAACAGGACATTCGCACACCTTTCAAGTTGGCAGTAAAATGTCTGAGGATCATCAACGTGCGTAATAAAAACATCTTCTTCACTCCCGATTTTGATCTCGTGCATGGAATAATAGAAAGAATGCAGTCGAACGGAGGCTGCCAGAGGCGTTTGAGGCGGCAGACGTTTGGCCACACCTCTGTCTGTCAGAAATTGGGATGCGCTCTGGAAAGGCGTCATTAAATCTACAATGTTGAACAGCTCCCTGTTGTTCCTCGAAGCCAAGGCAAATATGGTACACTGCAGTTCAAACTGATTTGAGGAGGCATCGACAAACTCCTGGAAAGCCAGGATCGCAGCTTCATCCCAAACAAACGGGTCCGGACCATTAGGGTGGATTAGGTTGTAAAGGCTGCACCTGAAGGCCTGAGCCTTCAGCTCGAGGAAGCGCTCGTTAATGGAGCGGAGACTCGTTAGGGACACCAGCTCCCTGTTGCCGTAGTCCACATACATGACCTCAACTTCACCCGCAGGACTGACATCGCTGACAATTAAAGCCCTGTACCACCGTTTGTCCTCTGAGTACTGGGCCAAGCACGCCGACTGCGGCCAGGCGTGCGGCTGCGACACGCTCTCACAGTACTCCTGGATTTCAGCCATCAACGCAGTGAACTCACTGCACTTCTTCAACTGGCACCAGAAATAACCGGGGCTCTCAGCACACGTTACAACCACATCGACCGTACATCCCACTTCCAGCTGACCCCCGTAGGAGGGACCGGGCCTCATTTCCACGTAGCTCCGCCCGCACGGGGCCGCCGGCTCTCCTTCGCCGTCGCACAGGTGGGCAGGGGAGGCGCCGCTTTCGGCCTCGCGCGGCAGGCAGCGCCGGAGCAGCTGGCCGAAGGCGCCTGGAGACGTGTGCCCGGCCAGACCCAGCCGCCGCATCTGAGCCACGAGCAAGGGCAGCTCCAGCACCAGCAGCCGCTGCGGCACCAGCAGCTCCCGCACGATGCCGGTCAGCGCCTTGCCGTGCAGGCAGCGCAGCAGCTCCATCGCCTCCTCCGTCCAGGCGGAGCTCGACGCGTCTCCGCACGCTCCGGCCGCGGGGCTCCCGGGCGGCACCAGGTCGGCCACCACGCAGCCCAGCGCCTCGGGCGGCGGACCGAACAGCTCCGGGCCGCCCCGCGCCAGGTACTCGGCGGACACCGTCACCGCGCGACCCTCGTCGAGCAGGAACACGCGGCGGCCGCGGCCGCGGAGGCTCAGCACCCGGCAGCGGTGCCACAGCCCGGCCAGCTCCACCAGCCCCAGCTCCCCGGCGCGAAGCTCCGCGCCTCCCGCCGGCCGTCCGGCTCCACGCTCGCTCTCCGCGGCCGCCCGGATGTCGGCGAACGGCCGGACGCGCTCCGCGCGGCGCTCACCCAGCGCTCCCCACAGCCGCACCACGGGCGCCGTCGGTCGCACGTCCACGGCCCGGACCTGCAGCGAGACGGCGGCCCCGGGACCGGGCAGCTCCGGCACGGAGCCCATCGCGCGCCGCGTAGACGGCAGCCGCCTCTCCGAGTGTACAGCGGTGCGGCGGACGGCGACTGGGCAGCAGGTGAGCCCATAGGCGGCCCCGGAGGGGCGGAGGAGGAGCAGCGCAACGCACGCGGCGCCGTCCCGTTACGGCAGGCGTACGCAGCTCCGTAAATACGCGAGTTACCGTCTGGGCGCGCCGAACCGGCTCGACCCACCTCGCCGAGCACGGGCCGCCCCACGCCGGCTGTGCGGTAACGGCACGGCGCGGGGCAGAGCCTCCCGAACGCGCTTCGCCGCCATTGGCCGAGAGGGCGCCGGGGGCGGGATATAGGGGCGGGGCTTGCGGCTATTGGCTGGCGGACCGGAGGTGTCAGGGCGGGCCGGAAGGCGCTCTGGCGCTCCCTCGGCGCTGCCTGCAGTTCGGGGCGCTGCCGGCAGGGGGCGCGCGCCGCCTCTGAGAACGTCTGGCCGCAGCAAAGGTGGGCGCCGCGCTTGGCGGCAATGCGGGCCGCGCGTCCCCGCTCTCACAGACCGGCTGTGTCTCTAGGGACAGCTGGAAGCTGAGAGGGGCAGGTCCGAGGCTGAGCAGGAAGGGATGCTCCTTTAGGGCTCTCTGACTGCTATAAGCTGCCTAAGAATGAACGACCAGAGCCTTCCCTTGCCAGCTGGCACAGCACGGCCCGCTGCCCCCAGGTGTCGCAGCGCCCACAGCACAGCCCTGCTTGCACTCACTGCACCTCCCTACGCCGTGACTGTACTTAAACTTTTCTCTCCAAACTGGCTCTCGTTCAGCACTGTGTCCCCGAAGGCAGGCACTGCTCCTTTCCTGCAGCTTTCCTCCAAAGGGAAGGAAGCAAAGCAATCCGTACAGCCCTAATTTCTTACACTGAATATGCTCAGAGGCTTCCGAAGTGACCATTATGAGAGCAGAGCTTGGCACAGAACTGGTCAATAAAGATAGGAAACAGGACAGGCCGGGTGGGGTTGCCTGAGGGAAGGGAAATCTGGCTTTCCTGTTCTTTGTTTTGTAAATATTGACATGGTTTTGTAATGTTAAAAAGAACAAACACTGCAGAGCCTTCTGATCTGCGCCTCTGTAAGCCAGAATACTGGTGACCAGGGAGTCAGTGCTCAACTTGGTAGAACCACAGAATCCCAGCACGGCCTGTGTTGCAAAGGCCCACAGCGCTCCTCCAGCTCCAACCCCCTGCTGTGTGCAGGTCGCCAACCAGCAGCCCAGGCTGCCCAGAGCCACATCCAGCCTGGCCTTGAATGCCTGCAGGGATGGGGCATCCACAGCCTCCTTGGGCAACCTGTTCCACCACTCTCATAGTAAAGAACTTCGCCCTGATATCCAACCAAAATCTTCATCTGCTCCTCGCTTGGGGCTTGCATGCAGGGCAGCACAGAAAACAAGGGGTGTAGTTTTGTAATAACTGTCAATCTGAAACTCAAAGCTGCTTGGTAGTGCATGAAATCCTTCCCCGTAGCATTGGGCATGACAAGTATTTTAGACATCGTGTAATTCCATCTTAAAACACATTTTACAGCCAAGATTTGATTTTGGCTCTAATCAGTTGATTGAATATTGGCTCTAAATACATGATTGAATACAATCCTGTGAGCGATTATGAGACTATCTGACCAACACCGTAGCAATAAGGGCTTAATAATTAGAATGTATTGATTTTTGCAGAGTTTGCAGCTGGCCAAGCAGGGAGCCAGGTTGCCTCCCCCTGGGCTGCCCACAGGGCTGCTCTTCAAACTGCAGGTGCTTAGCTGCCACCCCCGGTACAAAATCCTCAGCAGGCAGAGGACTCGGATTTGTCTTGCAGTAACGTGCAGATACCATGAGAAGCCAATTCTTGCAAAGTCAGCACCTTGCTGCCAGGGCAGGCAGTGGGTTGTCCCAGCTCCAGCAGAAGCCGCTCACATTGATCACAGCAGTGCTGTGCTCGTGGCTGCAGGCACCACAGGCAACCCTACAGGCTTGGGGAAGGACGGCTGGAAAGCTGCCTGATGGAAAGGGACCTTGGTGTGCTGATGGACAGGAGGCTGAATGTGAGCCAGCAGTGTGCACAGGTGGCCAAGAAGGCCAGTGGCATCCTGGCTTGGACCAGGAATGCTGTGCTGAGCAGGACCGGGGAAGTCATCCTGCCCTGTACTCAGCACTGGTGAGGCCTCACCTCGAGTGCTGGGCTCAGTGTTGGGCACCTCAGCACAGAAAGGACATGGAGGTGCTGCAGCAGGGCCAGAGAAGGGCAGCAAGGCTGGGGAAGGGCTTGGAGAATGTGGCCTATGGGGAGAGACTGAAGGAACTGGGGCTGTTTGGGCTGGGGAAGAGGAGGCTGAGGGGAGACCTGACTGCTCTCTGCCAGTACCTGAAAGTGAGTGCAGCAGAGCGGGGTTGGTCTCTGCTCACTGGTGACAGGACGAGGGGAAATGGCCTCAAGTGGTGCCAGGGGAGGTTGAGGTTGGATGCCAGGAAACACTTGTGTACAGAAAGGGCTGCTCAGCACTGCCATGGGCTGACAGGGAGGTGGTGGAGTCCCCATCCCTGGCTGTGTTTCAAACCGTTTGGATGTGGTGCTCAGGGCCATGATTTAGCGGAGGGCTGGTAGAGTTGGGCTGGGATGGTTGGGCTGCGGTTGGACTCCGTCATCTTTAAGGTCTTCTTAACCTGAGCTGTTCTATGAAAGTTTCCATCTGCAATGCCCTACGGACATCGGCTCTGCGGGCACGCCGTTCCTGCCCGCCGTTACTGCAGGGAGCGGCGCTCCGGTTCACACTCGTCACAGCCCCGCGCTGCTCTGCCCCTCACGCCGCCCGAGGTCGCAGAGAGGCGGGGCGGGGCGGCGATGGCGGCGGCGCTGCTGCTGGCCGCTGTCGTTGCGGTCGCCGTCATCGCGTGGGTTTTGCGTCCTCCGAGCGATCCGCGCCGCCCCCCCTGCATCGGGAGCCGCGTGCCCTGCCTGGGGGCCGCGCTGCGCCTCGCCGCAGCGCCCCTGGACTTCATCGAGCGAACCCGGGCCGAGGTGAGGCTGCGGGACGGGGCGCGGAGCAGGCGGATGGAGCCGAGTTCCGTCCTGGCAGCCGATACAGCGAACAGGGCCACAGAAGTGATCAGGGGGCTGCAGCACCTCCACTACAAAGACAGGCTGAGGGAGCTGGGCTTGTTCAGCATGGAGAAGAGAAGCTGCGGGGTGACCTCAGTGCAGCCTGCAGTACCTAAAGGGAGCCTACAGACAGGAGGGGAGTCAGCTCTGTGAAAGGGGAGATGGCAGCAGGACAAGGGGAAATGGTTTGGAGTTGAGGGAGGGCAGATGGAGGTTGGATGTCAGGGGAAGTTGTGTGCTGTGAGAGTGGTGAGGTGCTGGAACAGCTGCCCAGAGAGGCTGTGATGCCCCGTCCATCCCTGGAGGTGTTCAAGGCCAGGTTGGATGGGGCCCTGGGCAGCCTGGGCTGCTGTGAAATGGGGAGGTTGGTGGCCCTGCATGGCACAGGGGGGTTGGAGCTTCGTGATCCTTGAGGTCCCTTCCAATCTGCGGCGTTCTGTGACTCTGTGATTCTGTGCCAGCAGGTGGGCTTTGAGCAGCCCCACAGGTGCACTGAAATGTACCAAAATGCATCAGAACTGCCCCAGAAGTGCACAAAAATGCCCCAGATCCCCCTCCCCCAAAGTCTTAAAATTACTCCAAAAGACACTGAAAGTGCCTCAAAATGCATCCAAATCCTCAAAATGCAGCAAAACTGCCCTAAAATGGCCCCCAAATGCACCATAACTGCCCCAGAAGTGCATTGAAATGCACCAGAATGCACCCAAACTCCCCTAAAATGACCCCAGAAGACACTAGAACTGCCCCAGAGTGCACCAAACTTGCCCTGAAATGGCCCCCCAAATGTGCAAGACTGGCCCAGAATTGCACTGCAATGCACTAAAGCTGCCCTATGCCTCCTGCTCTTCCTCCCCCGTTTCTGTCAGGACTCCACAAGCTGCAGTTTGGCTCCAGCTGATCCTGCTGTAGTACCCAAACCCCTCCTGTTATACTGCTTATTTTGCCTTCCTCAGCATCCTGTTGCCATCCATCTGTCCTGTAACCTCATAGTGAGCAGCTTGCCCTGCTTTCAGCCGACCAGCCGCTCGTAGGCTGCCACCTCTGCTACATGAGAAACTGGCATTCCTATGGGAAAGAGAACTGGCATTCCTATGGAGAAGTGTGTTCAGGCTTCAGAAGCTCCATTGGTTCTGCCCACATTTGCTAGCTCCTTTGGTTAGCCTTACAAGAAACTGTCCAAAATAAAATAAAAAAAAAGAACAGTAGTATTAGCAAACCTTTAAACTAAGGGAAAATGCATTTAGAGATGCAGGAGGGGGGACTGCTGGTCAGTAAAACATGGATTGAATGAGGTGGAATGGCAGTGTGGGTGCTTTGCTCCAGCACCTGAGGGATGTGGGGATGTTCCTCCACTCTTCAAACCCAGGTGTGCTGTGCTGTGTGGGACACTGCCACGGCGGGGATGCTCAGGGAGGGGATCTCTTCTGCTCCCAGCCCTGCAGCTTTGGGTCCTCCTGTGGGAGCTGCAACGTAACCCCGCACCCTGCTTTGTTCCAGCATGGGCCCGTCTTCACTGTGTGCGCCCTGGGGAAGCGGTTCACGTTTGTGACTGAGGATGAAGGAGCTGAAGTGTTTTTCACTTCGAAGGACCTCAATTTTGAGCAGGCAGTACAGCGAGTTGTTGAGAATGCAGGTAAAGGAGAGCTGCCTCTTCTCAGAAATCACACCTACATGCCCAGCAGCGTTAAAGGCCAAACCAGAGCCCCATGAGCATGTTACAAAATTTGGGGAAAATGGCATTCCTTCCTGAAGGTGCAGCACTGCCGTCTGCAAAGGGGTTTGGGGTCGGTCAGAGGGGTGATAGAATCATGGAATCATAGAACAGCTCAGGTTGAAAAGCCCTTAAAGATGATGGAGTCCAACCGCAGCCCAACCATCCCAGCCCAACTCTACCAGCCCTCCGCTAAATCATGGCCCTGAGCACCACATCCAAACGGTTTGAAACACAGCCAGGGATGGGGACTCCACCACCTCCCTGTCAGCCCATGGCAGTGCTGAGCAGCCCTTTCTGTACACAAGTGTTTCCTGGCATCCAACCTCAACCTCCCCTGGCACCACTTGAGGCCATTTCCCCTCGTCCTGTCACCAGTGAGCAGAGACCAACCCCGCTCTGCTGCACTCACTTTCAGGTACTGGCAGAGAGCAATCAGGTCTCCCCTCAGCCTCCTCTTCCCCAGCCCAAACAGCCCCAGTTCCTTCAGTCTCTCCCCATAGGCCACATTCTCCAAGCCCTTCCCCAGCCTTGCTGCCCTTCTCTGGCCCTGCTGCAGCACCTCCATGTCCTTTCTGTGCTGAGGTGCCCAACACTGAGCCCAGCACTCGAGGTGAGGCCTCACCAGTGCTGAGTACAGGGCAGGATGACTTCCCCGGTCCTGCTCAGCACAGCATTCCTGGTCCAAGCCAGGATGCCATTGGGCTTCTTGGCCACCTGTGCACACTGCTGGCTCACATTCAGCCTCCTGTCCATCAGCACACCAAGGTCCCTTTCCATCAGGCAGCTTTTCAGCCGTCCTTCCCCAAACTTGTAGGGTTGCCTGGAGTTGTGACCAAAATGCAGGACCCGACACTTGGCCCTGTTGAAACTCATGCAGTTAACCTTGGCCTATCGATCCAGTCTATCCAGATCAACATGCTGTTGCTCCCATGCTGTTCCACACAGTGGAGTGTTGGTGCAGGACAGGGCTGCGGCTGCATGGGGATGACAAAGTGACAGTTCCAGGGCAGAGACCTTTACGTGGATCCTCCAGCCTTCCTATCCCTGCCAGACACGTCTGGTTGTACAGCTGAGACCCCTGGAGTCACCACACTGAGCCTCTCCTTGCACGGCCGAGAGGACATGCTGTAGCATGAAGACCCAAATCCTTTCTTTCTTGGTTTCATTTATTTTTCTTTCTTGATTGGCTTGGTAGGGTCCAGCTGTGGGAGGCATGGGAGGAGACAAGGCTGGCCATGTGGGCACTGAAGAGCAGGCAGGAAGGTGCTGTGTGGATGGACAGAGGCAGAGGGGCTCACTGAAATCCTGGCAGGGCCAGGAGGGAGGCTGCAGGGAATCTCACTGCAGACAGATGAGGGTTCAGGCACTTGAGGCAGTCACAGATTACATGTGAGCACTTTCACTCTGCCATTTGCCAGCTGCTTTACCTCCATCACGCTTCTGTTCCTTTTTGTCTGTAGTCTCTGTTCCCGCAGAAGCCTTCTATCAGAATCATGGCAGGCTGTACAGCATGATGAAGGGGAAAATGGGTCCCTCCAACGTGCACCTGTTCACAGGCACGCTGTGTAAGGAGCTGCACGAGCACATGGCGCACCTGGGCACTGCTGGCACGGGCGACCTCATGGAGCTGGTGAGGTGAGGACCTTCCCTCGTGTCTGCAGTGCGTGGAGCACAGGTGGCACCAGGAAGCACATGGAGCTCGGGCTCTCAGCCCTTCGTGGCAGCAGCACAGCCCTTGGGTCACTGCAGTCAGCGGTGCTGTGGGTGCACAGAGCTCTGCATGCTCTCCCATCCCTGGTGCAGCCCTGGGGAACAGAGCGTGCCGTGGCCACGGCTGATCAAACCCAGGTCTGATTGGCCTGAAATGTAAAGAAGTGCTCGTGGATTATAAACTGTAGGATCTGTAAGAGGCACCCATGGTAACTCTGTATTGAGTGTGAGCTGTTTTTCTGACTCTGCTGGATGAGGTGGGGTAGAAGAATTAGAATGCAATGTCCTGGCTGAGTTTTATCTTGCTGGCTCAACGTTGCATCCATAGAGCCAGCAGGTGGCTCCATCTCCCTTGTGATCCGTAGAAAGGCAAGAAAGTGAGAGGCACTGCCTGAAACACAGGGTTAGAAGTAGCTGGAACCAAGCAAAGACTTCCTGGTAAGGATCTTCTGGAGCACAGCAGTCCAGGTAAAGCGGTCTGGGAAGGGAGCAAGGAGTCTGCAGGATGATGGAGGAGCACAAAGGGCAGGGGCAAGACGGAAGGAAGTCAAACAAGCACCGTGCAGTCCAGCAGAGCTGCGGCCAGAGGAGGGATTGCTGTGGGGTCTGGTTGCAGAAGGGGCTGTGCCAGGAGGCTGGCATGGCCAACCTGGAAGAAGGTGGCTGGTAATGGGAGCAAGGGGACCTCAGTGCCACCACTCAGGGAACCGAATGCCCACTGATGAAACCTGGCTGTACTCGGGGCAGAGCCCGAGGTCTGTGCATCTCCCACCTCTGCGGAGATCTGTGAGAAGGGTCTGGCTGAGGTGCAGATGTTGTGCCAGCACTGTGCTGTGTGCTGCACGAGGCTCAGCTGCAGCTCAGCGCCGTGTCCTGAGCTCCACGTGCTGCTCCTTCCCTGCCGCTCTCTCAGGGCCATCTTGTCCTTGCAGGCACGTCATGTATCCAGCAGTGGTGAACACTTTGTTTGGGAAAGGCGTCTGCCCGACCAGCCAGAGCCAACTCAGGGAGTTTGAAGAACATTTTTGGAAGTACGATGAGGACTTTGAATATGCTTCTCAGATGCCAGAGTGCTTGCTGAGGTAACGGTAGAGTCTGTGCACGTGGTGTGCTGCATGCGGGCACCTTGATGGCTGTGATAGTGACACTTAGGGATCTTCTCCTGGAGGGGATGTGCTGTCCTGTGGCAGGCTAGGCATGGACTCCAGTGCTGGTTCAGAATGAAGACATTTATTGTGGGTGCTCCCAACCACCCATCAGACCAACCCTGTGAGTTTTCAACGCGTAGCTTTTGCCTCACAATCAATCATTTTCTGAGGTAGTTGCATTGCTTGATGCTGAGAGGTTGGCTGCATTATCCGCAGTCCGGTTGCCTCTGTAGGCTTCAGTTGGGAGGATACCCAGGAGGTTGCTGTGCTTCCAAGAAGCAGCAGTAGATGCTGATGGTACAGGGAAGCTGGGCTTTATGGCTCTGGCTGGAACTCATTGCAGGCTGGCACCTGCGCAAACCTCTTCCCCTCCGTTATTTGTTTGTTCCAGCTGTGACTGATTTCTTCCATTCTGATGTAAATCAAAATGTTGCACAACAGCACAGATCACCTTTTATAAAAGAGTGAAATACAGGACATGTGGGATACAGTGCAATAAGGGGAAGAGGTGGATTATTGTTCTCCTTTTAAGAACCCATTTAGAATATGATAATCAAGTGAAATGTGGCACAAACATCAGAGTGTTTTCTTTTAGAGGTGCTTGTACTCCCCGCACTTCATTATTGGATTAAAAGCATACTTTGGAAGAAGTAGAAAGCTCACACTTCTTGAGCCTGGTCTGCTGGTTGGTGGCCCTGCACGTAGCAGGAGGTTGAAACTCGATGAGCACTGTGGTCCTTTTCTACCCAGGCCATTCTGTGATTCTGTGGTTCTGTGACTTCAGTGTGACGCTAAAGCCAAAACACTCCTGGTACACTTCATCTTCATCTTCCAGACCACTGTCAGTTGTTTTACTTAAAAATGCATTAAGCTTCCAGCTCAAATCCTAGCCCAACTTTGTGACCTCCAGCACTGAAATTCTTGCCATCAGTGAAGCCTGAGATGGTCAGCTTTACACCTGGTGTACGTTTGGTGGCCCTGCTAGGCAGGGGGGTTGGAACTACATGATCCTTGAGGTCCCTTCCAACCCAGGTGATTCTGTGATTCTGATTCTGTGGTTGAAGAGCAAGAGTATATGTAACCAGTTCCAATCAAGCTGGAATTATTCAAGGCCAGGCTGGATGTGGCTCTGGGCAGCCTGGTCTGCTGGTTGGCGACCTGCACACAGCAGGGATTGGGGCTGGAGGAGCGCTGTGGGCCTTTGCAACCCAGGCCATGCTGGGATTCTGTGATCCTCATTAGCATTTTCTACAGCCATCTTTCCTAGCAGTATTTCCTGTGCCTTATCACTGGCCACCTGTTTGTCCAGACTGTCTCAGTTTATCAATGAACTGCATGAAAGGTTCACCTTGCCCCTGCTTTATGCTGGTAAATGAACGTTGGGTCTTAAGCTGCATCGGGGACCTTTAGAAAGGCACCAAGGGCTGTCATTGGATTGGTCTTAAGGCCACAACATTCAGCTGTACTTGAGCCATTGTGGCAGCCCCGAGCAAGGCTTCTGTACCAATGACTTGTAAAGGGCCTCCATTTGGTCTGCCCAGATTCTCTGTTGCCTTTTGTTGTGCAGATTCTCTCCAACAGCCCATCCACATCATGTACTGAGTACTGGTTAAAATCAGTTGTGCAAGGTCAAAGTCTCTCATCACAGCTCAACAGCTGATACAAGGGGAGCCCAGCCCAAATTCAAGGACCACTTTTCTGAGCTCTTTTATTATTTGAAAGCTTGTACCCTCCCGTCTCTCCTCTGGGACCCCTCTCTGTGCTTTCTCACACCTTTGCTTCTTGCTGCTGGTCTGACCCTGGGTTACACTGCTGCAGAGCTGACCTTGGGTAGAGGCAACCAGAACCCAAGGAAGGAGCTTGCAGAGCTCTCAGGGCCACAGCAACACCTTGAGTACCTCAGAGTCGCCTTCAGAGAGAACTGGGGATGCTCTGAAAATGAGGCTTTTATTTACTCAGAGATTGACCGAAGGGAGCCAAAACCAAAAAGAAAACCTCAGGCGGAGTGACTGGAAGTTCAGGACTCTCAACCTGGCTGCAGGATGAGCCCTGGCCAAGGGAAAGGGTTCAGTGCTGCTCCTCCATCAGCCAGCACTGCTGCCCGGCACAGTGATGTTCATCAGCTGGCTGCTGCTATGGTGTTTTTGGAAGGAGACCAAGGAGTCCTTCTCATGCAAAAGGAAATGTTGGTTTGTGCTGCCTCGGTTAAGTGCTCCTTGCTTGTTGCTTTTCTTTACAGGAACTGGTCTAAATCCAAAAAATGGCTTCTAAAATTATTTGAGAAAGTAGTGTCAGATGCTGAAAGAACCAACCCTTCAGAGACCACATCCAAGGTAAACATCCGAGGCTCCAAATAAGAGGACCTTGTTGTATATTCTGACTGAAGGAATGAAGGGCACTATTTAAGTACTGGAAGAAATACACCAGATGGGTCAGCTTTTATAGATACACATTAATTGTCCAGTAGTGCTGTTTCTTCTGTTGAGCCTTACTTTGTGAGCACTGCTGCTCAGTGTTGTTTGTTTCCTACAGTTCCAAGACTTTCAGATCCTGTGCAGAGTTTGAAGCCAAAGGGTTGGTGCTGAGACCCATCTGTCCTGGCTTCAGTGCTGCAGTTACAGTGAGCAGCTGAAGGAGAGGGAAGGGCCTCTTCATTGAAAGAGGTTTGGTCACATTAGGTTGGGTTAGATGTTAGGAGGAAGTTTTTCCCCCCGAGGGTGGTGAGGCAGTGGCACAGGTTGCCCAAGGAGGCTGTGGATGCCCCATCCCTGCAGGCATTCAAGGCCAGGCTGGATGTGGCTCTGGGCAGCCTGGGCTGCTGGTTGGCGACCTGCACACAGCAGGGGTTGGGACTGATGAGTGCTGTGGGCCTTTGCAACCCAGGCCATGCTGGGATTCTGTGATTCTGGGATTCTATGATTCTCTGATTCATTGCCTCTCGGGGGCACTGGGCTGTGCAATTTCAAAACCTTCCATGTACTATTTTTAAGCCTTGGTGTAGAGTGATTAGATCCTCCAGCAGCCAGATGAGCAGGAAAAAGGCAGATAAGTGGATTGGAAGGCAAGTACCCTAAATATTGCTTGTGTCAGAATGGTGATAAGTCGTCCTGCTGGTTATTCTCCTGTGCCATGGCAGGAATGCTGCTGGTGTGGATGACAGGCTTGAGTGCAGGCTGGCCTGGGAGTTTCCATCTAGCACATGGTTATAAAACAGATCATTAAACAAACCATATTTTGGGGCAACTTCAAAAGCTTTGCACGCCACGCTTTCATAAAATACATGAGAATAATGGAAAGAGACCAAGAGGGGAGGAGAGAGGACAGCAGGAATGGGATGTGCAGGGAGCAGGGGGCACAGACTCGGGGTCTTGGGTGGGCAGGAACTTTTGCTCTAAGCAAAAGCTGATCAAACATTCTGAGGCTGCTGCAGCTGCAGGGAATGTTACACCATGAAGGCCAATGGTCGGGTCAGTAAGGAGCACCCAGAGCTGGGACTGCTGGCACTCAGACCCCCCTGATGGGCCATGGCAGGAGCAGCAAGAACGTCATTGCTCCTCATCCTGATGGTTCAGTCCGGGTCTTGGGCTCTTCAGAGGGCAGAATTGGGGTGAGAATGATGTAGGAAGAGTTTTTTCTTTGCTCCACACACAAACAATGATGGAAAGTGGGAGAATAAGACCCCCTGAAAGCCCTGAGGGAGTGGAGGTGGTGCACGTGCTCAGTGGGGCTCTCATGGCTTGGGTTTCCCTGGGCCCTCTGCCTACAAGGGAGGCTCACTTCCTCTTAGCAGCTGTCATTGCCATGATCTGGGGCTGCTAACATTGTAACTAATGCTATTGCTTTGATGCTACCTCCTTGAATTCCACTAAGTCATCCCCTAAGCTGCGTTTTAATGTATTTAGAGGAATACTTTGCATTGTTTATAACAGACACTACTTCAGCACCTCCTGGATAACCTGCAAGGAAAACATCTGGCTCCCAACTATGGTCTCCTGATGCTCTGGGCCTCCCAAGCAAATGCTGTCCCTGTGAGTACCTGGGTGGGAGCAAGGCCTTTCCTGCTTGGAAGCCTGCACTGGGGAAGCACAGTGCTTAACTCCAGGTCACCGTGCTGTGTGTATTCCAGGAAGGGATTATCACACCCACCTACATCACCACAAATACACCCAGGTTGCAATGTCGCAGAGGCAGTGACAAGAAAAGTTTGTCCTGTATTTTTCCTAGATCATAACGTCCTGCATTGTAACCTTATGGGAGCTATTAAGCTGCTAAGGTCAGAATCTTAAGCTGTGAGAAGCATTTAACTTCATTTTGAAACACTGTATTATAACAAACACTGTATTTTAAATATTCTGTGTAAAGTGCATCGGAAGCATGAAGTTGGGTAACTTGGCCCCTGTGTAAAACCAGAGTGATTGAGGTGGTTGTGCTGCAGGAGTGCAGCCACGAATTCAAGGCCAGGCTGGATGTGGCTCTGGGCAGCCTGGGCTGCTGGTTGGCGACCTGCACACAGCAGGGGTTGGGACTGGAGGAGCGCTGTGGGCCTTTGCAACCCAGGCCGTGCTGGGATTCTGTGATTCTATGAATGCCAGTGCTGTGTCAGGAGAAGAAAAGCAGTAGTTTGATGTTACTGCCTCTTCAGTTCTGTCTGTGTTGGGAATGGATGTGACAGGTAATGATGGAGGCTGTGCTAATGGGATCAGTGCATCTAACACGGCTGATTCTGACCAAAGCCACTTACTGGAAGTGCTCGGATGAGAGTTCCGTAGTGGGAGAGCCGTCCTTTATTTGCTGTGACTGTGAGGCTCTTTCAGTTATGGTACAGCTGTGATTTAGAAGATGCGGTGAGATACTTTTGCCTGTACTCCCAAAGGGGTACCTGCAGCTTTTGTGGGTTGGCTGCAGCCTGCCCTGCAGGAATGTGGTCCATTTCAGTGGGATTTCTGTAGATCCACGTGTCGGAATAAGGGAGAGGCACGGCCTGCTGCCCGTTATCAGGATAACTGGCATTCCTTCCATAATGCTATCATGACTTCCTTCTGTAATATTCAGCTCTAAATAGACCTGCAGATATTTCGCTGTTTCTCAGAATAGTCACAAGGCTCTGGTGAGTGGAATGAGGAAAAAAGGCCTTTTACCTTCCAAGGGGATGTTTGAGAAGAAACTCTTTTATCCGAAACAACTCTGCTGATTTAGTAATTGGTTTTAACACCTCGATACTTGAAATTAATGAGAGGATTCTGTGTTTCTAAGCTCAAAGCCGCACACATAATGTCCAGTGGAGATCTGTACACAGCAGATGGACAGACCTAATCTGCCAGGGTCTGAGCCCTTGGCTATAGATCTGTATGGGAAGCACAGCTCCCCCTGTGCCCCAGCCATGGGAGGCACCTCCGAAAATTGTAGATGTTTTCTCTTTCCTCTCATAGCTACAAAGATGTTGTGATTCTGTTCTGTATTCCGGAGCTAAAATACTCTCATCTCTGTTTAGATTGCATTCTGGACCCTTGTTTTCATACTCTCTTATCCTACGGTTTACAAGAAAGTCATGGAAGACCTGGCTTCTGTTTTTGGCAGTGCAGGTAATGATTCAGATCATGGCCTTTGAAACTCAGCATGGTGGCTCCACGTTGGCCCAGCACGCAGCACAGTGGGCAATGGCTGGGAATAGTGGTTGTTGCTGATAAGGACACTACCAGCACCACGAGGTCCAGCTCTGCCTGTTCAGCCTGTGCTCACGACTTATTTTTAAGCAAAAGCACTCTTGGTGTTAGTAAGAGAAGGCAGAAGAGCCATATGTACTCGCCTCTTCATTCTGCACCAATTATTTAGGCCTAGTTTGTTTTTTCCGTGCTTCTGTGGTAGGGTCAGATGAGACCTTTCAGTTCAGTTTGGCCTCTTAGAATCACCACAGAAGGTTGGAAAAGACCTCCAAGGTCATCCAGCCCGACCACCCACCCACCCCAGCATTCCCCACCAAGCCACATCTCCCAGTCCCACACGGCTTAGGAGCACCTCCAGGGTCAGCGCCCCACCAAGGTGCTGGGCAGCCCATTCCAGCCCATTCCTCTTCTGATCAATGCCATAACTACAGCTACCTTAGAGTTACTAAATTACTTTCAAAGGCTTTTCTTACCAGTGTTGGACTCAAATTGTTCAGATCTTGCTCTCTTTATTCACTTGGAAATACAAAGGAAGGTTCTGGATGAAAACAATGTCCTGAAGGCTTGAGGTATTCTGTCAGAAGGTCCAAAGCCACACATCAGCAGGTTTCAAAACAAGTGTGAAGTGGCATTTTAACATGAAGTCTTCTTTCTCATACCCCAACAGGTAAGGATGACATAGAAGTCTCTGAAGAGGACCTGAAGAACCTCCCTTATGTTAAGTGGTGCACTTTGGAAGCCATACGGCTGAGGTCTCCAGGTGCAATCACCAAGAAAGTAATAAAACCAATCAGAATTCAGGTGAGCAGCGGGGTGTTGGTTGGCTTTGGGTGCTGGGTGGGTTTGGTTTGGTTCTGGTTTGGTTTTTTTGTTTTGTTTTCTTCAGAGGATGCTTTCTGATTCTTCTAGAAAGGCCCCTCTGATGGATGTAGATAAAATTAATAGAGATATTCCACAGCGTTACGTGTGTGCTCTGTTCAGCATCACAGACTTAATAATCATTGTTAATTTCATCATTATTAATACAAGCGTAGCTTTGCTCCTCTTTCTCACAGTTGTACCTTCAGTGATTAATTGAAATTAAATAGAACTGAACTGAGATATTGCACCAAAGGAATAGGGAATGGGAACCAGACCCAACACATGTATGAGAAGGGACCACAGCGTTGTAAGGGCTGAAGCTCCTCTTCTGTTTGTCCCCTTCATTGTCACGCAGATAAGAAAGTGCCTGCATTCAGGGCTGTGACAAATGAGTGTCTGAGGGAAAAACACCCCCCTCGAGGAAACGGCACTCACTGCCACTCTGTGGCCCAATGAAGCCCCATAGAGTCTGCTGTCCTACGAGGCTTTCTGTGAATTCCTTTTTGTTCCGAAGGAAGCGTCTAAGGGAAGATGCAGAAGGAAAAAAATGACACAGTTACATCAAGATGTGGGAAAGGCAGAAATGAGGTTTCCTTTACTTGCACTGCTGACAATCTGGGTTAGGACAAAAGGTGTCTTTCCACATTCTCCCCATTTGGGCCTCCCTGATGGGAGAGGGGCACAGCACAAAGCATCAGACATGAAATGCCCACTGTGGCTTTGCCACCTTCCCAAACCTTCTGCCAGGACCTTCTGCTGATGGAGGAGAATGTAAGCAAGGACTGCTTTGTTAGCTGATTTTCTCTTTGTTTTCTTTTCTCCTTTTCAGAGTTTCACCATCCCTGCAGGTGATATGCTGATGTTGTCTCCATATTGGCTGCACAGGAATCCAAAATATTTTCCCGACCCAGAAATGTTCAAACCTGTAAGATGTCCCTCATAATATGGGGATTTTGCAGTCTGATCTCCTGTTCACCTGTTATACCACAAAAGCATCTGGCCATGCTGGCTTCAGGTTGGGTGCTTTCCCTCCTCTGAGCAGTGTTCTCATGTGCAGAGATGTGTGAATCTGGTGAGGTTCAACACGGCAAAGTGCAGAGTTTGGCACTTGGGCCGGAGGAATCACAGGCATCCACACAGACTGGAAGGAGCGGTGCTTGAGAGCAGCCCTGCGGAGAAGGACCTGGGGGTCCTGATAGATGAAAAGATGAACATGAGCCAGCAGTGTGCTCTTGTGGATCGGAAGGCAAATGGTGTCCTGGGCTCCATCAGCAGAGGGGTGGCCAGCAGGGACAGGGAGGTGATCGTCCCTCTCTGCTCTGCTCTCGTGAGGCCCCATCTGCAGCACTGCGTCCAGGGCTGGTGGCCCCAGTACAAGAAAGACAGGGAGCTGTTGGAGAGGGGCCAGAGGAGCCACAGAGATGAGCAGGAGGCTGCAGCACCTCCACTACAAAGACAGGCTGAGGGAGCTGGGCTTGTTCAGCATGGAGAAGAGAAGCTGCGGGGTGACCTCAGTGCAGCCTGCAGTACCTAAAGGGAGCCTGCAGACAGGAGGGGAGTCAGCTCTTGGAAAGGGGAGATGGCAGCAGGACAAGGGGAAATGGTTTGGAGTTGAGGGAGGGCAGCTGGAGGTTGGATGTCAGGGGAAGTTGTGTGCTGTGAGAGTGGTGAGGTGCTGGAACAGCTGCCCAGAGAGGCTGTGATGCCCCGTCCATCCCTGGAGGTGTTCAAGGCCAGGTTGGATGGGGCCCTGGGCAGCCTGGGCTGCTGTGAAATGGGGAGGTTGGTGGCCCTGCATGGCACAGGGGGGTTGGAGCTTCGTGATCCTTGAGGTCCCTTTCAACCCAAACCATTCTGTGATTCTGTGTATGGGCAGAGGGCCCTGCAGGCACAGCCAGGACTTTGAGGCTCAGGTTTATGTCTCAGATAATACCACACTACTTCATGTCACTCTGCTCCTGATTCAAAGCCCACCGTGGATGAACACCACTGACTTCACTGTTGAAACAACATCCAATAGCCCCGTTCCCTGGCTCTTGTACAGCTTATCTTTGTGTTTCTTTGTGGTTCTTCGGCCCTTCCAGTCAGATGATTTCTGGTCGGTATTAGCTCTGCTAATTTAGCAGCTCATCTCGAGTTTCTTGCTGATTATTCCACCCCAGGTGGCCATGTGGGCAGGCTTGGAGCTGCTCTTTTTAGCACCATCCGCTGTAGAACATTTGTCTTTTTTTAGAAATACATCAAGGAGTAATTGAAACAAAATTCCCCCTGTGGCCAGCTCTTCACCCATTCAAAATCCCTCTCAGCAGTTCCTGCCTCTCTGAAACCCTGCACAGAAACTCTGATGCAGCAACTTATCTCTCTAATAACACTTTATTGCTGAAAACAAGGTCGCTTGTTTAGAGGTCCATTCCTTTCCCCATAGGAATGGGGCAGCTGCCCTTGGACGTTGCTTTGTTTCATCACCGCTGAGATCTTCGTCCTGCTTTTAATGGATTTTGGTGTGAACAGATTTCCTCTTCAGAAAGCTCTGAAGAGCTGAAGCTGTATAAAAATCCCAAATAAACAGACATAAGATTCTGTCTTCTCGAAGGGCTCCAGCAGAAGCGATAGCTGCAAAAAGCTTAGCAGGTGTTACTGGAAGGCTTCGCTGGAGTTGTGCTGAGCTTCTGGAGGCTGCTCTGCTCGTCACCCAACGGTCAAGCAATGCCCTTCTGCCAGTGTCAGGCCACCTCAGCTGCAGCCTGGCTGCTCTGCTGTTCCTTTCCTCCTGCAGTGGCTCAGGCAGGAACCAGCAGCCCTCTGGGTGCAGAGGCTCTTTTTGCTGCCATTGCCAAGAGTGTATTTTGTCGCCCAGTAGCTCATCCCTGAGAACGGGGTGGTGTAATCTTTCCCTTCGCCTCGTGTGACATAAATACACCTTGGGTTTGTTGATGTGTAACCGGTGTGTAACAGAGGCTGTGATGTCCCATCCATCCCTGGAGGTGTTCAAGGCCAGGTTGGATGGGGCCCTGGGCAGCCTGGGCTGCTGTGAGATGGGGAGGTTGGTGGCCCTGCATGGCACAGGGGGGTTGGAGCTTCGTGATCCTTGAGGTCCCTTCCAACCCAAACCATTCTGTGATTCTAACATGTGGGACGTGCTTTGTGGGAAGGCACTGCCTGGAGCTCACATCTTCGTTGGCATTTCAATAACTCAAGCAGCAGGTTTAGAGAAATAGGGATGTTGAGGAAGATGCTTTGTAGGGGTGATTTTGAGAGCCTTTCCGGCATTTGGAGGGTCTCAGTGTGTTTCACGTGGGACCCTTGCTTGTTTCCCTGAGTCACTGCTGGTTTTTGAGGCAGACTCCTACAGTATCAGGTTGAAGGCAAAAAATGGCATTGGTGCGATTTGGGATGGAGGATTAGCTGTTCGAGGTCATTTTTAGCCTGGAGAAATAAAGTTGAGCTTTATTTATATAAGTCTGATTTGGGAAAAAAAAAAGTTTCTTCCCACAGGATCGTTGGAAAGAGGCAAATTTAGAGAAGAATGCTTTCTTGGACGGCTTTGTGGCATTTGGAGGAGGGAAGCATCAGTGTCCAGGAAGGTCAGTGAAACAGCTGGGGTTTATTTATTCCCAAACCCTGCAGAGAACAACCCTCCCGAGCTGGGCTCCTCTTACACTTGGAAATAGGCTGTTTTCATTGTTTCACTTTGTCAGTGCTCTGACGTTCAGTTCTATCTGGACTTCATTTAGATTAATTTGAAAGTGGCTTCTTTCCTGGAACAAAACAGGTGAAGCCACAGTGTAAAAGCAGAACCTGAGATAAGTGGCCCAAGGGATGCTGCTCAGTGAGAGTCAGCCTAACCCTGCTGCTGCTGAGGCCCCTTTACATCAAGGGAGAGTTGTTCCACTTGCAGACATGCTGGTTTACAGACATGGGCTGTAAGGTGCCTCAAGGCACTTCCAAACAAAGAACATTTCTCTGCACTGACACTCTCTATCCCTCCTCCGCCATCTTTGCTCATCTTCAAACGTCTTAAATGGTTCCTCTCTGTTTAAAGCCCTTGCGTTTGCATTACGGCCCACACAACTGTATGATGGCTTAAATTGCAGATCCTGCCTCTGTTCCTTCCTCCAGCAATGCCAGCCTCAGTGCTTCCTGCATTCCTTCTGCTGTTTTCTCTGTGGTCCCTCTTCCTGGAATGAGTCCCAACGAACCAGCTGCTCCACGTTTCTGTGTTAAAACATCCCTGTGCTCATTTCTCTGCCTTCCAAACCCAATCTTCTTTAGGCAGCAAATAAACAAGAATCCTCAAGAGAAGTCAGTTGAACTCAAGAGTCCTATGTGGAGGAAACCAGAGGATGTTGTAAGGGAAGCGTGTTCTTGAGTCTGCACCCTGTATCAGGCTGGGCATGAGCATCAGGTAGACTTTGTGAAGGCACTGCACACGTAAGCAATGTGAGTAAAGCTGTTCAGGCTTGGCAGAGGAAAGTGCCCACTCAACCTCCCCAGCTTGTGCAGTGTTCCTGAGCTGAATGTGAGCACAGCCTCACTGGCAGCAAAGGCAACAGCCGTGTTCACAGCAGGCACCCACAGGGCACAGCGTGCTGCCCTGCTTGTTTATAACACGGGCCTTTGTCTTTGATCTGGCTGATCTCTGGGCTCTGACAGTATCTCTAAAGTAAGTTTGGGGTGAAAATGAAAATGACGGTGTCACTGTATAGGCAGTGGGTGGAGAATCACTTGTGACAGATGCTGTCCTTGCAGCCACACGGTGACACCTCCGCACCTTTTAGTAGCAATTCTGAGAGAGTAACGTGGTGGCCCTGGAAGAAAGAACATTGAATCAAGGATGTGTCTGGATCCCAGGTTGCAGATTTCCATGGCATAACTGAATCAAATAATGATATTTCAAGTTTAAGATGTGTTTTCATTTAATTCACTGCTGGCATTTGTAAATAAGTGCACCAAACATTTAGCTTTACTCCTCGCATTGCAAAAGCTCATCATGAAATTCAAAGCTAGTGCAATCAAACTGAAAGCTAGAAAATGACTTGTTAAATATCCTAGCAAAGTTGTGTGGGAAGAGCTCCCAGAAAACCATTTCTGAACCTAAGGGAAAAGGTTTGATGTCCCTAAACCTGCAGTGGGACTTCTGTCTGATCAGGAGAGCTCTGCGGGTGCAGCTGTGCTTATCTCACATGCATGTGTCTGTTGTCTCTGATCTTCTGCTGACATTATAAACCCTTCAGCACAAGAGGTGCCATTTCATTCTCAGGCTCTGTTTGCTGCAGGATCTCAATGCCTGGGTGCCAGCACCAACAGGTATTGTAGCAGTGTGCTGGGGACAAGATTCCAGAAGGTGCATCTTTGTCAAACCTCCTTGGCACTAAATAGAACAGGACTCAGAGCTTTTAGGGGAAAGCTGCTCGAGCACCCGAGAATATGAAGGACAGATGGGAACTAAAGGGCATTCTGCTGCAGGAGAGCTCATGGATTCAGACTGGGATGTGTCCAGGAGGAGAGGGGACCTCAGCCATCTGTTAGCATCCTTGTGCCTCAGCATCTCTGCAGACAGGAGGAATGGCAGCCTGTCTGCAGCAGCACTGTGCAGTGTCATGGTGGGATGCAGAGGCAGGACTTCAGGAGCCAGCAGCACCAAGCAAGGACTGCAAGGAAGCCGCCTTGGTACAGTGCTGCTGGCATGGAGTTTGGGCCAGGAAGTCCTGCCTGACATGAGCTCATTTCCATTCAGGTATCTCTGCTCTGCATTCCTCTGGGCTCAAGGTCACCAAAAGCACCCAATCTCAAGGTACTGCAATGTGAAACCACAGGGATCACTTGGTTCTCAAGCTGTGTCAAAGCAAGCAGGCATCTTCTCACTGCAGAGCGCTGGGCAGTGCAGTGTGCAGATCTGAATGGTTCTGCAGGAGCTGCCCTGGGTCCCATGGGGCTTATTAGCTTCCTCTTCACACTACCAGGCCAAAGCCAGGCTGACACTGTGTGCAGTCATGCTCTCTTCTCCCCAGTGAGTTTCCCAATAGGTGTTTTATTCAGCAGTTCTCACATATTGGAAAATAAACTGTGTAGAAGAGCAAGGTAATACTCCTATTTTAAGCAGCTCTTTAAGACGTATGTCTAACTCCTGCAGTGAGTAATCCCATGAGCTGGCATAGGTGGAGCTGGTGGCTGAATGGAGGATGTTCTTGTACATAGCAGCATTTAAAAATAACAGCTGGGCAGAGTTCACCTGCAGTTACTGCTGCAGTGTGGCTGGCTGAGAGCTTTGTGAGCGTGTTGCAGGCACACATCGTGCCCTTGGGTTTATCCTGCATTTGAACACTGACGCACTGAGCACCAACTCCTGCTGTCACATCTACTCTGATGTCACCGGGCTCCCAGCTGTATGGCACGACTTTATATAGCACAATTAGTCATAGAGCCTCTTCTATATTTGACTGTCTGCTCAGTCCTAGGGAGTTATTTCAAATCAGTAAGTCTTAGAAGAACATCAATGTTTGCACAGTGGAAAAAAACCCCTAATGGCAAGGAGCTGTTGTGAAATGGGCTGTCGGAGGCTACGGCTGCTCTGAAGTGTCCCCAGGCAGAAGGGACGGCCACCATGTTTGCATTCTTCACTGCACAGCATTTTTTTCTGCTGAAGATAAATGCACACTGAGGCATGGAATGCAAGATGTGCAAGAGGCAGCATGCTGCCTGTCTGATAACACGTGTGAGCTGCAGGATGGACACCCACTGCTCTTCTCCCTTCTCTTGCAGATGGTTTGCTATCATGGAAATCCAGTTGTTCGTTGTGCTGTTCCTGTACAAATACCAATTTGTGCTTTTGGATGCAGTACCAAAGGAGGTAAAAGATCTGTGCCTTTTTCTGGCATTCCACATCTTTAAATCCTTCATGCACTGGGCTCAGCTGAACGACCGTTCTCAACTGAGTTTATGTGTAATGAAGCAGAATGCTTTGAGGGGCATTTAAAAAGATAGAATCAATAATTTGATCGTAATTTTTATTCAGGAAACGCAGAGCAATTCCAGCAGTGCAATGGGATGTCTATACAAGTGCACCTAGGAGAGTATTTTATCTCTTCGTTGCCTAAGCATTACAGGAGGTTTTACGATTTCTGCCACTCACAGCAGTTGATGAATTCATGAATTACACAGTTAGATTATTGGTACCTGAAGCAGGCATTAAATGAGATGCAGCATCTTAGGGACGTGGCTCAGTGGGCATGGTGGTGATGGCCGACAGCTGGGCCAGATGATCTTAGAGGTCATTTCCAACCTTACTGATTCTATGATTCTTTGATTCTGTCATTACCTGTGTTCTTCTGCTCCACATTGAGTGGGGGAAGAGAACCAAACAGAATCAGAGAGTCCTAGAATGGCCTGGGTTGCAAAGGCCCACAGCGCTCCTCCAGCCCCAACCCCTGCTGTGTGCAGGTCGCCAAACAGCAGCCCAGGCTGCCCAGAGCCACATCCAGCCTGGCCTTGAATGCCTGCAGGGATGGGGCATCCACAGCCTCCTTGGGCAACCTGTGCCACTGCCTCACCACCCTCTGCATGAAAAACTTCCTCCTCAGATCCAACCCAAACCTCCCCTGTCTCACTTTAAAGCCATTCCCCTTGTCCCATCACCATTCACCCTCACAAACAGCCGTTCCCCTCCTGTTTATATGCTCTCTTTGAATACTGGAATAGGGTAAGAATGAAAGAACAACCATGACACAGAGGGGTTTTACTGTAAAGAAAGAGTGGCATGATCACTTCTTTCAGCTGTAATTCCCTTCCTCATTTGCACAGTGTTCCTTTCCAAAGCCGTGGTTCTCACAAACCTGCTGTGAAGAGAACCTGCCTGCTGTCACAGCCTGAACAGGGACACGTGCCCTGCAGCTAAACTGACAAAGAGAAGAGGAAGGAGTTAAAAGTGTCCTGGGCTTTGTGACATTGCCCTTCAGGCTGGAAGGAAGAATCCTTGAAGAATGTGAGAGGTTGCTCTCAAGCAGTAGCAGACAGCCCAGCCACAGTAAGGAGGAAGGTTGGCTCTTCCTGCCTGGTGCTGATTGACATCTTCACCCACCCAGGCGTTACAGTGGTGAATATACTTCAAACCATTAGGGTTTTTAAGACCTCATGCCCTCCTCTGCCACAGGAATTGGAATAGAAGTAGAAAGTGAAGCCCTTTTCAGCTACTCCAGTGGAGCCAAGAAATATTTCAGTATTTGGTCTTGTTTCTAAGACAAAAGTTCTAAGAATATGTTTATGTATAAATATTAAAGCAAGATGATAATTCCGTTAACTGAACTGACTAAAGTGCTTCTGTCAATCTCTTTGCAGAGCCCTTTGCATCTGGTGGGGACACAGCAACCCCTGACACCATTCCGGGTCCAGTATAAAGGCTGGGAATGAAGGGAGCCCAGTACTGACTTACCTTTCTTTGCCTGGATGAACGAACTGCTGAGCTGCTTCTCTGCTCTCTGTATTCAGACAAGTTCTCTGCTGTTACAGTCCTTAATCCCAATTGCTCTGCGTTGCAATAAGCCATGACAACACAGTCTTATCCATGGTCTTCTTCCCAGTTGCCTACCTCTAGTACTGCAAAATGAAGCTGTCCTGCCAAATTAGTCACAGTCTAAATGATATGTTGCACTCACCAACCAGACCTTCAGGACACAAAACTGCTACGTCTGAAAATCCTGCAAGGAAGTGTTGCCAGAGGCAGCAGAAAAGCAGGTTCCTCTTTCCTGCAGGTGTCTTCAAGCCAAGGCCAAAGCTGCAAGCATGAGAAGCAGCTGGGATGCTGTTCCACTGAGCACCTTCCATGGCTGCTGAGTTTGGTTTGCTCAGAACTGGTCCTGGCATGAATACACAATGAAAGCTTGGTGGTGGTGCTGGCTGCAGTGCAGAGCGATGGCAAGAAATGCCATTGCTCTTCATTAGTTTGGTGGTCTAGAATTGAGAACCTTTTTATTTTTAACACGATTTACAGAGCACATTAATAAATCTAAAACTATTCAGTTCTATGAGGAGTATCTGGTAAACGTTCAAGGAAACTCTCAAGTAAATAAGTTCAGATACCAACACTTTAACTGCTGTCAGATTTCATATACAGCAATAGCAGACATGTATTTTTAGTCTTCTAAGTAAAGATTATTCATCGTTTTATAAGTGCTTGCAAAAAAAGCCACTCAAATGGCCTTTGGGCAGTGGTAGGTATGGGAATAACATCCATAGGAAAATAACACAGGATATAATTCATTAACTCAGTTATGGATACTACAATTTAACAATACCTGCTCTTGACAGCCAGAGAAGCCAAACAAGAATGTGAATTAGAGTGGCTTTGTGACTCTCCCTCTGAAATCCCAGCACTGTGTGACTGCCCTGTTGTCAATGGCAAAAACCATGTGGGGTGGATTAGGAGAGCAGTGTGGCAGTCAGGCGATAGAGCTGAACGGGGCCTTCTACCTGGAAATAATTCTAAAGCTTCGGGGAGAGGGAAGTCCAGCACCACCACTGCAACAGGGTTAAACAGATGTTGAAAGCTCATGGAAAGCCAGGTTGGATGGGGCCCTGGGCAGCCTGGGCTGGTATTAAATAGGGAGGTTGGTGGCTCTGCCTGAGGCAGGGGGTTGGAGCTCCGTGATCCTTGAGGCCCTTCCAACCCGGCCATTCTGTGATTACAATCCCTACACACAATTGGATGAAGAGTTTTTAAATCAGTATTTTTCAGATGTCTGTCCAGTCTGCTTTTAAAAATGGCAGTGCTGAAGTTCCGAAGCGATTGTTCCTCTCACTGATTGAAGGCTTCCCTGCAGGTCGATGGGGTCACAATGAGCTTTTTATTCATGCTACTTGCTGCATGGAGCAGGAGGCTTTAAACCCAAAGAGAAAAAAGGGACAGTATTTGGCCTATCTTTGTGTTTCTGTCTCTTATATGAAGTATGGATGTTAAAGGAAGTGCAGTGGGTGTCCTGTGGCATCTTCAAACATGAATTATTCCACGTCCAGCTGGGCGGCATCCATCAGAGCACAGCCCTCAGCCCAGGCTGGTTGTGATGGTGTGTTGGCATTCATAAGGCCAGGAATCAGTGAAACCTATTTGTGAGCCACTGCGACAGATGTTAAGTCTTTTTAAGGAGAGAGCAAATCTAGAGTTGTGAGGAATGAAAAATGCAGCCCTTTCAAACTAAGTTTGCTTTAATATTTTTTGGATTTTGTGGTGCATTAAAACAGAGCTTCTAGAAGAAACAACACAGGTATTCCCACCAGAAAAGCCACCCCACTGCTGCCAGACATTTTTGATGCTGTTGAGGATGGTAGAAATACTTTCATATTTTCACTGCAACAATAACAGAATCACAGAATCACAGAACGGCCAGGGTTGGAAGGGACCTCAAGGATCACGAAGCTCCAACCCCCCTGTGCCATGCAGGGCCACCAACCTCCCCATTTCACAGCAGCCCAGGCTGCCCAGGGCCCCATCCAACCTGGCCTTGAACACCTCCAGGGATGGACGGGGCATCACAGCCTCTCTGGGCAGCTGTTCCAGCACCTCACCACTCTCACAGCACACAACTTCCCCTGACATCCAACCTCCATCTGCCCTCCCTCAACTCCAAACCATTTCCCCTTGTCCTGCTGCCATCTCCCCTTTCCAAGAGCTGACTCCCCTCCTGTCTGCAGGCTCCCTTTAGGCACTGCAGGCTGCACTGAGGTCGCCCCGCAGCTTCTCTTCTCCATGCTGAACAAGCCCAGCTCCCTCAGCCTGTCTTTGTAGTGGAGGTGCTGCAGCCCCCTGCTCATCTCTGTGGCTCCTCTGGACCCTCAATAAATCAATGGAAATTCAATATTTGGCAGAAGACTCATGAAAACATTTTCTATTAAAATTGTTGAACTGCTGCAAGTGAATCCTCTCCAGTCAGCAGAGTGAGAAGATAACCCTTCATATCAGCAGCCGCCTCCTGGAGTAATTGCAGCTTCTTTCATGTCTTTCCTGTAATGAGCCTCTTGTCTGTGCTTAGCAGTCAAGTGCTTGGAGTGGTCTCTCTCGGCATCAGTGGTGGTATCCGACCTTTTCTGTGCTGCTGATTATCACAGAGACCAGAGGTTTGTGTGCCTCCTGCAAACAGATTACTGGGAATGAAAAGATAGGGCCGTGGCCATTGAGAGGTAAGCTAAAAATAATCACTTCCTTTCAGAAAGAAAAGCAGCTAAAGGCTGTAGTTCTGTGTCGTGCTTAAACATTGTGTCGACAAAATTCAATTACGTGTTTTGCTTTCAGCAGATGCTTAATTGATTTGCAGAGTAAGAATGGGTTTCAGTTGAAGCACATGCTGAAGCACTTCCCTGTGCCAGTCCCGCTGCCCTAGCTGCTCACCTGCTCGCAGTCTCTCCTGGTGGTTGTGCTGTAATTTTAGGGTTAGATAAGGATTAGTGGAAATACCGAGGTAGCTTTGCTCCTTTCAGGTGAAATTGGCAAACATGAAGGCTTCCAGGAAAAGTATTCTTTTAAAAGCACGGTTATAGCGTAAGACAGTAGGCAAGCATCTTTCCCAGTTATTTGGTACATTCTAAATGTGTGGCTCATCATATGGCAAAAAGTATTCCCTCTCCACTGGTATGCAGTGGAAGGGGAATTAGACACAGGAAAGGCATTCAAAAGATAGCGAGCGTTGGATTGAAGAACCAAGGAGAAGCTTTCATCATGTGGCCATTCTGAATGACACTGGGCATGTGAGTGATGGGCACAACGTGACTTATTGTTTGACTTTGATCATAAAATTACTAGGAATGGCTTAATGGAGTTATAAATATCTTGTTTCCATGAGAGTCCTGGGAGGGTAATTATAGCACTGAAGTCTTTACAGAGATAGAGCCTTTATACAGTGATATTATCTAAGCACTGCAGTGCGTAAGGCCGGGAATTCTGTGTTCTGTGAGCAGCTCTGCTCTTGACCCAGTGCACCTGTGGGCAAATCACTTCATCCCTCCGTGACTCTGTTGTCCCATCCATACAGTGGGGTAATGATAACGACTGCTGCAAACTCACTGAATTACACGTTGCATTACTCAGCAAAGCCTGCTTATCAGTAGGGATGGATGTCTGCAAGACTTTGTTTGGATGGGCTCCGTGCTTTCCTTAATTGTACCGCCATGTGTTATCGAGAATCCACATTACTCTACTAATAGCAAAAAGAATCAGAATAAATGCTTCATATCTCTCAGTTCACACTTGTTAGGATGCTATGTAACAGTTGGATCCTGGACTTCAGGAATGTTTTGTCCTTTGTTGGACTCCAAAGACTTCAGGGTGTTTCTTGCTGAGTAAAGCACAACCTGCTTGCATAAACCAGCCCCTTGGTAGGAGTGTTACCTAGAAGGGTGTCCAGCACGTACCTGTGAGAAAATAACCACACTTACACTCTAACTTTCTGCAGTTCTATCAGGCTTTTCTACTTGTGTGCTGTTCTTAAGGCCAGGTTGGATGGGGCCCTGGGCAGCCTGGGCTGCTGTGAAATGGGGAGGTTGGTGGCCCTGCATGGCACAGGGGGGTTGGAGCTCCGTGATCCTTGAGGTCCCTTCCAACCCAAACCATTCTGTGATTCTGTGACTCACCGCATTAGGAGATGGATACATCATCTTTCCCAAGTACCAAGCAGAGTATCGGAGTGACAAGTACAGAGGGAGTATGTGCAAGTACAGTGCAACTCCTGCTGTTCCATCTTTGTGGCTTTGAAACAAGTCTGGGAGCAGGAGGAAAACAACAGACAACAGGGCCAGATCCAATGGGTGCCGTGCCTGAAAGAGACAGCGTGAGCTGGGACCTGAAAATGAGCTGTGCTGCAGAGGAGACACTGCGTCCTGCGCTGAGAATGCTGTGACCACAATGGTCACAATGGTTCCAAGGACTATTGGTAGCTGTGAAGGAGCTCACAGTCGAATCTCATTGATGAAAATGCTTGTAAGCCTGTCAAGACTTGTAGTCAATTTGTTCAACTTAAAAAAGTGAAAGCTCAGAAGTGTCTTGAGCTGAGGTGTAATTCTGAGGTGTAATTCTCTATTCCTGAACAAATGAATCCTGTAATGGATGGGCCTTTGGAGCTTGCTGTACCTTTCTGCAAAGTGAAATCTAGCAGATTGCTACCTGAGAAAAAAATGCGGATCAGAAAAGGGGGCTGTTTTTCCAAGGACTGACATTACATTTAGATATCAATAATTCTGAAAACAAAATGGCGTATTTTTCTGAAATAAAAGCCTTTTATCTTCTGCCTGTGCACTGGAGTGGAGAGAGGTGGGAAAGCCAACCTGATTACCTCTGCAGTGTCTGCAGAACGTGTATTGAAAGATTCTCTGCAGGCATTCCCTGACATAAAGCATCTTTCAATGCATTTACAAGGGCAGAAAATACCTTTGCTGAGGGTGTGATAGTGGTCAGACCAGGCAGGGTTTGGAAGACATCCGATGGTGTAATGACATCTGGTCCGAGAAGCCTGAGGCTATGGAGGATCTGGTTCTTTACAAAGCCTAACTGGGGAGTGGTGAGATGTGGCATTCTGTTTTCCTTTGGTCGGTTCTTGGGTCTGAGCCACATGATGTGTGCCCTGAGGATGTAGACCCTGAGCACTGCCTTCCCAGTCCCCTCTATGGAAGGGGTCTCTGACTGGTAAAGCGTGCTGTGTGCTGCAGGCTGGAGGTGAGGCTTTGTTGCTTTCTCATGCCAGAGATCTCCATCATAAGTGGACAAGACTTTCTTCAGTTAAATACAAAAGTTTCAGTGGATTTCACTGTATCAGTCTTTGTTACTGCTGACGTAGATCCAGAGGCAATTGCACGGCACTGGCCTTTTATCCCGTCCCTGTTCTGAAAACTGTCTTGCTCAGAAAAGCATTAAGCGTGCCCTTGTATTTCCTTGATGCCAAAAGAACACGGGATGTTTGCCAGCACTATGGCACAGCTGGCTGGATGTCATTCCCAGGCTAAAATGAGGATTCTGAGATAAAAAGTGAGGTGTGATGGAGTTCCACACAATTCATCACAGCACGAGACACTGCCTTTGATGCTCTTTCTCTGTCCAAATCTTGGTATTACCATTTGCTATTTTAAGCTTGTTTATAGAACTGGAATAATGCGCAGATAGAAAAGATGATGACAAGGGTGCTTTCAGGCATTACAACTGAGGTTTGGAGGGTTGTTTTTTCCAGAAAAAAAGAAACCAAAGGATGTTTTACTTTCTGAAAGCCTAGCAACTGGGCTTTGCTTACTATGAGCTTGAATCGACCACCAGTTTGCTAAAAGCCAGTCTCAGAATGATCTGGTTGCTCCTTAAAATAATCAAAAGACCTGAATCAGCAGGAAATGGTCACCCTGTGTCCTTCGGGCATCGATCAACATATCCAGCCCTGCTGTTTGGGCCTAGTTCTTCATTCTGGCTCAGAGGTTGCAGGCACACAGTTTGCACACGTAGGCACACGGCTCTTTAGGAACAAACTGGGTAATGAGTTCTCTAAGTAGCCATAAGCCTGTGCAAAGCCAAGTGACAGAACATAGCAAAGGTTGCAATCACTAAAGCATCTGCCCTGAGCTCCCACACCTGCCAGCGCTGATCTGCACATGACAAGGAACATTTGTCCCCCTGCATGAGGCAGAACTGCGCTGGCATCTTCGTGCAGGGCTGGAAGGTGGAAGCTGGGCAAAGCGGGCCGGAGCTGCAGCACTGCTGGACGCTGAGCATCTGTAACTGCTGCGCTGCTGAGCGCCTTCGTGGCCGTGGTGTGTGGATGGGACCCCTCCAGTGCAGACTCCTTCTGTGGATAGATTGATGGGGTAAATTGGCAGCAGTTTTCATCCCAGAGTTGGCCCTGGAGCAGCCCTGAGGCAGAACCTAGCCCAGAGGCCCTTCTCTTCCTCCTCTTTTAACTTCCTTTCACTGTTTTCATTCACTCTGTGAGCTTCATTAGTGCCTTTAGTCACACTCCCCAGCTCAGCTCTAAACCGAGCTTGCTCTTTCCTTCAGGGTTTTCAGATATCTGACCAGCCAAACATCTGGAAAGCTCAAAGTTAGAGTGCAAAACTGGATAGTCTAAAAGGGGTAAGCGCCAGTCAGTGCCTCAATAGCACGTAAAGCTGGAAGGACTGGTTATCTGTTGGGGCTGAAGAAGGGGCAGACTTCTCTCTGGCTGATGTCAAGGAGGGCACTCTGCAGAGGCTGCCGTGCAGTGCCTCAGAGCCATGGAAGCTGTGACAGCCCAAGAACTTTTGTGTCACAGAGAGCTGCTCCATTTCACCGTGCCCAGCGCTCACCCCTCACAAGGGTGCACAGGCACTGGCACCATCTAGGGGCCAACTGTCAGCCATTAACGTGTTTCTAGATCGGTGCCATCAGACACAACAATAATACAGAGAGAAGCACACATTAACATCATTTGTCTAACCAAAATATGTTTTAACACAAATGTTGAAAAATGCAGCTAAGTCTTCACTTCAGCTCACAACTCAGGAAGAAAAGTCTATTCCCAGTCATTATTACCTGCTTGGGCTGCTTGTCGTCTATTAACTGAGATGCTGTGTTGTTATCTGCCACCGCATCACTCACTCACACTTCTCTCTTCCACTGCTATAATTATGCCTTCAGCAGTTGCCTGGAAGTGTCAGAATAAGGAATGAAGATTGCAGAGAGAAGGAAAACATACAAAGCCCCTAAAAGTATGGATCACTCTTGTGAATGAAGAGCATAAATATCCTTCAATACAAAAAAAACTCCTTAACCTGGCATTTCTGAAAGCCTTTATGTTGTCACCTCATTTATTATGGGTAAAAATGAATGCAAAGCAAAGATCATAGAATCACAGAATCCCAGCATGGCCTGGGTTGCAAAGGAGCACAATGCCCATCCAGTCCCAACCC